AGTGTCCTTAAATTTTGAACTTCCAACTCTAAGTTGAGGACCAAGTGTCTTTAAATCATGAGCTTTTTACTATAAGTTCAGGACTAGATGTCCTTAATTTATGAGCTTGTTAGTCTAAGTTAAGGACTACTTGTCCTTAGTTTTGAGCTTGTAACTCTAAGTTTAGGACTATCTTTCCTTAACTTTTGAACTTGTAACTTTAAGTTGAGGACTACATGTCCTTATTTTTTGAATTTGGAACTCTAAGTTCAGGACTACCTGTCCTTAATTTCTGTGCTTGTAACTCTAAATTAATGACTACATGTCCTTAATTTCTATGCTTGTAACTGTAAGTTAAGGACTAGCTATCGTATGCTAGGTATTGAAATATTTTGTACTAAATCACTTTTCCCAGATCCTCATGCTCTGCAAAGATAGAGAAGGATGTAAATGAAATTGATGAGTGAAAGAATGTTGGTTACTGTGACATATTCAAATGTGATACACAGATTGCCCTGAACATTGTGAACATGTTAATGAAAATGTCATGTTGCAGTAGACAGTGTACAACATATGTAGCCGAGTTTGTATGAACATGCTATCAAACTCTTTTTTCTAAATAAGCAACGTTCCTGCAGAACGGGAGAAAGAGTTTTGAAATTTAGAGGGTTTGGGAAGGTAAAGAGATAGAAGAAAGGGTAACATCCTCTTTTTATATTAATTTTAATAGACTAATGGCTATTTTTGCTCAGCATTAAAAATACTGGATAAAAAATAAATATCATTTTAAAAAGTGGCTGCCCTACGCAATTTTTACTCAAATTTACACAAAATGCAAAGACTAGCGAACTTGTTCCCACTTTGTACGCAGACTAATATTTCACCAAGATTACAATATTTTATTTTGTTAAATTACAATATTACTAGTGTTAAGAACAGCAAATGATATATGTGTCACAACAAGGAAGATTGAGTAATTTCATAACAATAAAACATTGTAACAATTAAATATGGTCTTCTTTCAATCTCAAATAGATTCCTCATTCAGCATTATTTGCTCACAATCATTGATCCACATTTTTGCAAAAAATTAAAAAATAATAAATTGAGGGAAAAATATTCAGCTAAATTTGTCTCTATTTCATTTTTCCTAGACAACAAACGTACCTAACTGCAGTTATTGGAGCTTAATATTGGTATATTTGTCTGAACATAAGAATCAATAAAAAGAAATACTTCGAAGTTTCTTGAATACAACTATGCAAAGAGCAAAGCCATAAGAAGAAAATCAATATGATTGTGGTGGGGTGGATAAGATTTCTCCACTCTTAATAAAAGATCTTATATTCGATCCATGTTTATGGAAAAAATCTTGTTAGTGAGCGTTCCCCCTTAAATGAGCCTTATGCGGTATGAATCCAGAAATAATCAGGCTCCAATATGAATACTGAATATCGAATAGGAAACAAAAAAATTAAGAAAAAACCTCCACGCGAAAATTGGAATTAAGTAAAAGCAAATTCCAATCAAATTGACCTTTATGGGGTTATAATGAACAGACTAATAGCGTACTTCTTTTGTTTTTTGCCTTTTTCTATAGAAGGTTACCTAGCAATGTTGACTTATAACAACCTTCTACTCCGTTATTAGTTTTCTTTTTGGAAAAGTAGAAAGCAGTTTATGCACAAAATTATTTAAAAGCAACAATAATGTTTATAGGTCACAGATACCCGAAAAGTAAAGATTGTATGTGTTTTTTGGACAAAAAGAAAGAGTGACACGTGTTGGGTGTGCGAACAAAGTTCCATATAATTGGTAGTAAAAATATTAGGAGCATACATATAAGGTGTAAGGATCTCTTAATGGTGTGAGGCCTTTGTTGAAGAGCTCAACCAAGCAGAAGAGAGAAAAAAGCCGGTGGAGAAGAAGCTTCATTTCTATGTATTGAAAATGCCAAATATATATTGGAAGAGTATTGTACACGTCTAACTATTTTTACTATTTATAACAACCAATCAACTAACTAACTAACTAACTAAACTAACACTACTAATTACACTGTATTAACTTAATACTGGACCCCACATCTATTCTTTCTACCCCCTCAAGCTGAAGGATGAAAATAGTTTTTTTCATTCTCGGCTTGCTTACTAAGTAGTCGTGTTGTGGATTGCATAGACTCTTAGTGAAAATGTCTGCTAGTTGTTCCCTTGTGCCAACATGCTGAGTCTTGATCATTCCCTCTTGGATTTTTTCTTTTACAAAGTGACATTCAATGTGTATATGCTTAGTTCTCTCATGAAATATAGGATGAGCTGAAATTTGAATTGTAGCTTTACTATCACAGTAAAGCTAAATTGGAAGTTCGACTACAGTTCCCAGTTCCTCAAACTACCCAACTAACCATTTGATCTCTGCAACAGTAGTGGCCATACTTCTGAATTTTGCCTCAGATACACTTCTTGATACTGTTCCTTGATTTTTGTATTTCCGGGAAATCAAAGCATTACCAAACTTCACAGCATAACTTGTGACTGACTTTCTTGTTTTCATACATGCACCCCAGTCTGACTCACAGAATGCAACCAGCTTCTGAGTGCCACCTGCTGGTAAGAACAGTCCAAGCCCAGGATTTCCTTTAATGTATTTGATTACTCTCATAGCAGCATCTAGATGTGATTGCTTAGGAGCATGCATGAATTGACTTAGCACCTGTACTACAAAGGCTATGTCAGGTCTAGTCATAGTCAAATATAGTAATCTTCCCACTATTCTTTGATAACCACTTCTGTCTTCAAGTAGTCTCTCATCAAACAATCTTTCCTTGTTGAACACACTGTCAAATTCTACAGAGGTAAGTTTGTGATTAAACTCTAGTGGAGTAACCACTGGCTTTCCCCCCTGATAGCCCAGTTTCAGATTACTCAAGGGCATACTTTCTTTGGCACATATGAATGCCTTTCTCTGATCTTGAAAACTCTATGCCAAGAAAGTACTTCAACTCCCCTAAGTCTTTCATCTTAAACCTGTTCTGCAGATCCTTCCTAGCCTTCTCAATCAAATTCAGGTTATTATCAGTAACTAATAGATCATCTACATAGACAAGTACAATCACCAAATCTTCTCCCTTCCTATTGTGAATTAGGAATAGTCATAGTGTGATTGTACAAATCTCAGATTTGTCAATACTTCTGTCAACTTCAAGTTCCACTGCATGGGGGGGAGGGGGGCTTGTTTAAGCCCCTACAAGGACTTATTCAACTTGCACACCTTCTGATACTCCTCCTAACTTGAAAAGCCATCATGAATTTGCATATAAACTTCTTCACATAAATGACCATGAAGAATGCATTATGAACATCCATTTGAAAGATAAACCAGTGTGACACGGCAACAAAAGCTACTATAGATCTTATTGTAACCATCTTAGCTATAAGAGAGAAGGTTTTAGTATAGTCTAAACCTTCCTACTGGCTGTAGCCCTTGGTTACAAGCCTTGCTTTATATCTTTTCACCCCTATTGCGAATTTATACTTTACTTTAAACACCCATTTGCATCCTATATGGGCCTTGTATGGAGGAAGGTCTACAATTGTCCAAGTATTATCACTCTCAAGTGCTGAAATCTCAAATTTCATAGCAGCCATGCAAAGTGGATTGACACTAGCTTCTGCATAAGTTCTACGCTCCACAATTGCTGGATAAGATGCTAATGAGGCCATGCAGGCAGGAGTAAAATGATCAAACACCACATAATTAGATAATGAATATGAACAAGAAGATTTATGTTGAACTACATAATCTCTCATCCAAATAGGTGGTCTAGATTCCTTTGAAGATCTTCTAAGTTGTACTGCATGAGGAGAAGGAGTAGGATCTCTGGTAACAGGAGATGGTGAAGATTGCAAGACATTATATGTAGTTGAATGGTATGATGAAGGTAGATGTGCGGTTACAACAGAAGGATCAGATTCCACTAGTTGCAGTACTGGGAATATAGGTGAAGAGACAGTACTCATATTCTTAAAGGGAAAGATGTCTTCTTTAAAGACAGTGTCTCTACTTATAAAGAACTTCTTGGAGGTCAGATCATAGATATGATAACCCTTCTGAGTAGTTGAATATCCAAGATGAACAGCTGGGATTGCCCTTGGACTGAACTTGTCACCTTTCTTCAAAATTGTAGCATAACATAGACTACTAAACACCTTGAGATGCTGCAGTGAAGGAGCTATATGGAATAACTTTTGGAAGGGTGACTGGCATTTCAACAGGATAGTGAGTAGTCTATTAAGCAAATATATAGCAGTGGACACACACTCTCCCCAAAATCTCAAAGGCACAAAGTGTTGAAACCTTAGTGCCCTTGCCGTTCCCAGAATATATCTATGTCTCCTTTCAACAACAACATTCTATTATGGTGTATATACATAAGATATTTGATGTACAATACCATAATCTTTTAGTAAACTGTTTACTTGATCATGGAAGAATTATGAGCCACTGTCTGTTCTAAGACACTTCACACCACAGGTAAACTGATTTTTAACAAACAATAGGAAGTTCCTTAGCACTACAATAGAGTCTGCTTTAGTAGGTATTAAAAAAATTCAAGTGTGTATAGAGAAATCATCTACTAGAGTCAAGAAGTATCTTTTACCATTATGAGTGGGAACTCTATAAGTTCCCCAAACATCAGCATGCACAAGATCAGAAGGATTAACAGAACACGTAGTACTTAGAAGAAAGGACAGTCTTGCATGTTTAGTAATAGGGCATACAGAGCATATGTGATCCTTCAGTTAAGTCTTACACAAGCCATCTATCCTTCAGTTAGGTTGGACAAGTAGAAGCCCAAAATTGGGCAGCCCATTCCTTTCCTTAACCCAACCCTTTGACCCGCCGGATCGACCCAGAATCCGCTCCGTTTTGATTTTTAATCTCAGCCATTCATCCCTTTTAATCCTATGGACGAGATTAATCCCCAACCCCCATGTAAAACCTAACATTTCACAAACCCTAAATCTAAGATACCCACTAACCCACCCTTCTCCTCCATGAAACTGTCGCCGCACAACCATGTCCAACTCGCCCGAATCACACCCAAAATCGGGCGAATCGACTCGCTGAGTTTGCTGGTCCCCCCAACCTCTCTCTCTCTCTCTCTCTCTCTCTCTTCACCACTTCATCCAAACCACGTGAAGAATATTCTCGAACTAATTTCTTTCTTCTCACTCGTTTTTTGCACGTGCGACTGAGAATCTCTTCGAGTATGTGACATGACGAATGGGAAGCGTGGGATTAATCTAAATCGATCCTAGCCTTCCATTCAACCACGCGCTTACTTGGTTGAGAGATTTTTCGGTTCCTTGGAGAGAAAGGCTGGAGGTTTCCAGGTTCGATATATAAGGGGTTTGTTTACATATTTGGGAGGGGGGATTTCTTGAGAGAAAAGCTAGGATTTTGGGGTTTTGATTTTGAGTCCTCCTCTTCAGCTAATTTTCAGTTTGTTCATAGATAAAAAAGGGCTCTGTTTCGTGTTGATAATCAGAAAATATTTAAAAAAAAAAAAGTTAGCTCTTTCTGGTTCTTGTTTATATTTTTAGAAGTCAGAAAAATAAAAAAAAAAGAACAACACAAAAAAAAATATAGTCCATTTTTTCTCTTGAATGCCAATTTCTGATTTAAGCATGGAGTTTGATTGAACTTTGGTGTTGTTCGAATTTTTGGAGTCGCCGCTATGTTTCGGGTCGTGGCTCGTGGTTTCTGTTCGAAGATCCTGCTGAGTTTCTCTGTTCCGGATTCGCTCGATCCAAGGTTGTAACTGCAGAAATTTTGTTAATTGAAGCTGCATTTTCAGGTTCATTTTAAACTTTTCTCTTCTCTACTTGAATATATGTGGAACAAAGTAATTGTTGCTTGGCTTAAGTCATTAGTAATTTCTAAAACCTTGTTTAATTTCTCTTTGATTTAGTTTGCGTTGTGTTGAGTATGTGTTTGAGTCTTATCTTCCGGCAACACTTTCGTTCAGATGTGTTTAAGGTCCTTGCATCTTTGCCTTTGTGATTGTGCACGTACTTTTCCTTTAGCAATATTATTGAAATTCTATACAAAGCTTAGCAGTATGCCTGCTCTTATGCTATTGAATGACTCAAAAAATGGAAATATGAAGTTTGTACAGTGGGTCTGTTTTTACATAAATCGACACTTCTTTTTGTAGTTTTTCTTTTTAAAAGGGTTTTTCTACATAGTGTCTAGCTAATATATCTTTAGCTCTTTTAGATTCTCCACTGGTTCCATATTACATCTGTTAAAAGAAATTTAACAATCTGCTTAAAGTTTTGTTCGGACTTCGTGTCGTGTTAGTTGGCTTTGTATGAGTTTAGTAAACATTTAGAAGTTTTGCTCATCCTCTGCTGAATATCACAAGTTTAGCGCATAGGAGACTGAAATGGAATGGTGTTAGTTTGGAAATAGAGATGGTAAGGATATGGAAATTTTGAGGATCATGTCGTTAATATCCCCCCCTTTTGCGCCTTTCTTTCTTAATTAGTTTTCTCAATTAGTTTTCTTTAGGTCAATTCCCTCTCTTTAGCTATATTTCCACTTTAAGGATCAAGTTTGCAGTATTTCATACGGTGACATCATTTGACTGCTTTAGATATGATATTATTATCAGTGGTGTGTTTAGTGTGCCTTCCAAGACTCACGACTCTAACCCATTGTTCTTCGCCTATTTGTCGTTACTCTTTTAGTTTTTCATTAGTTGCTATCTTCCTTAAATATTTGTCTGTCATGCCCGTGGAATGCGAAATTGAACATGGGGGAGGAATTGGACCTTAAATATCTTATTACTCTTGTTTATTGCTTTATCACTCGCTAGGAGCATGCTTAGGCCGACAACATTCGAGTAGGCATTATTAGGATTTTTCTATTTGTTTGCTTTTAATTTTGTGGCAAGAGGTCGTTCCCCTAGTTGAATTTATCCGGGGAATGCCCCGAGGGGTTTATATATATTATTATCCGGGGTATGCCCCGAAGAACTATGTAAATATTCTGGAGGCCTTGACGAGCATGGTGGAGAAGTCGTAGTATAGGTTAGCCTAAGATTTTTCTTTTCCTTTCCTTTTTATTTTCTTTTATTAGGCGGGGACGACCTCAAGCCTTGTGTGCGTTTATTCTGCTTTTCAGTGATTTTACCTTAACTAGAATATTCTGAAAGCCAACTAGATTGAATACGCAACCGTACTAGTTACGGGACATGGGGAGTGCCTAACACCTTCTTTCCGAGTCAAATGAACCCCTTACCCAAACCTCTGGTGCGGACTTAGCTTTGAGTCCAAGTGTTTTAAAGAAAAAATATTTTCTAAAAAAACGGTGGCCTGGCATACCAAAATCAAATGTCAGGTGGCGACTTTGAGTTTTCCTTTTGAATACAATCTTTGTCACTTTCAGAAATTGAAAATCCTTTTCAGCTTTACTACAATCTTTTTATTTATTTAAGGGGGTTTAGTAAGGTTTGGAATGAAAAAAGGGGTGTGACATCTCTAGCGACTCTGCTGGGGAATGGACTTGCGGGTTCGAGTTAGTACTTGATTTTGTTGGCTTTTAGAATATTTGGTTGAGGTTTTTATATTTTTTCATTAGCTTTACATAATTTTTATTATGTTTTTATATTTTGTTATTTGCTAGTGTTTATGTGTTTACAGTTTTTGCTTTATGTGTTTACTGCTTTATAACTGTCATCATATGCATTACCCGGTCAATTCTTTGTGCAACAAGTCTCAGAGTACGCGTCGCGTACACGAACTCTTCGTTGGGTCACCCTTATTCTAGGAGGGGGGAGGGCCGTCGGACGTATGGAGTGGGTGGAAATCTTGAGCAGCCACCATCGACCATACGCTCCCTCGAATTGCATTGTTAGTGAACGCCAAACTTAGGTCAGCCTTTAAGTTATTTTTATTTGCATCATGTCATTTAGACCTAGTAGGGCTCGGTCCTAGGTGTCGTGTCTCTTTGTAGGAAGCCTGTCCGAATTTTGTCAAAATGGGCTCGTGACCCAAAATGACATTTAATCATCCTATGTGCTAAATGTTGCATCTGTGAGGGTAAAAAGGTCATTTGGCAGACTGATGTCTTAGAAAGAAGAGTGAAAAATGAAGCAAGTTGGGCATACTCGCATCTTTCTTTCATAGTTATCCAAAAATAAAATAAAAAATTGATTGAAAATGAAAAATCCAAAAATTCAAAAAATGAAAAGAAAATCCAAAAGTTTTTACATTTTTGTCATTTTTCGAAAAGACAAAAAATATAGTTTTTTTCAAATTAGTTGCATATTCCCGAACTACGCGAACCTGATTCTGGTCTTTCGGGGCGGAATACGTAGGCAACCCACATAGGGTCCGGTCTTCCTAGTAGGTCCTAGGTTTTTGGCTTCTGGGGTCGTAGCCAAATCTTGTATGTATAGCCATATTTGGCCACATCCGCCGTTTTTGCAAAATAGGAGTATTTTTCTCAAAGTAGTTTGTTATCTTCTATCTTAAAGCCCTGAGTCACAATAAAGTGTCCTCTCAACAGGTTCATTCCTGTCAAATTTGCATGTCTAGCCACTTTTGGCCACATCGACCATTCTTGCAAAGTAGGGTTATTTTCGCAAAAGTGGTTCAATTACCCATGTATTAGGATCTTGAGTTTCATCTTGGTGTCATATCACTTTAAGGTCCATCCATGTCGTGTTTGCGTCCCTAGCCACATTTTGCCATATCGGCCATTTTTGCAAAAAAGGTCAATTTTTGCAAAGTAATTTTTAAGGCCGTGATCGTTGGGATGTTGGAGTCATGTAAGCTTTAAATGGAGTATTTTTCATGCATTAGAGGTCAACTTTGTCAAGTTTGCACTAATAGTCACTTTTAGCCACTTAGGCCAATCTGCAAAATATAGCCTAATTGTGTCTTGCATTTGTCCACTAGGAAATGTTGTTGTGTCATGTAGTGTCCCGAGTTGCTAAACATGTTCTCTTCGTTCAGGTATGGACCCGCTGATTCGATCCAAAGTGCTGATGGTAGTAAACATTCCCAGAAAATTGATCAAGTGGTGGAAAATGTTTTCATTGTTAGGCAACATGAGTTAATGCAAAAATTAGGCACCCTAACTTATTTTCTTGATATCACATCTCTCCCAGACTTAGCGGAGGCGATGCTGACTTATTGGGATCCGCAAAATTTTATTTTCAGATTTGGATAGTGTGAGATGACTCCTACCTTGGCGGAAATATCTGGTCTCACTCGTTTAAGCTATATAGGCAAGGACATGATACTTCCCCGAGACCACTCTAGGAAAAGATTACTCAGCGACCTCGGCCTGAAAGATAATAAGCATTTAAAATGTCTCGAGCAGTCCTGGATATCCTTGGATTATTTGTTTGCTAGATTTGGACCATATGATAGTTTTGACGTCTTTTGGGATGAGTTCTGCACAACCAAGGAAAAGTGGCAAATACATCGCCTCGAAGCTTTCAACCTTGCTTTGTTGGGATTATTGGTTTTTCTATTAGATGAGAGGCACATTAGCACCCGTCTGCAGTCAGTGGTAATGGCACTATTTCATGAGAAGCAACGCAAAACCGTTACCATTGTGCCGATGATCTTAGCAGAGTTGTACCGATCCCTGAGTGAGGTTAGGGGAGGTGTCAGATATTTTGAGGGAAGTAACCTTTTGCTACAACTTTGGATGATTAAGCATTTGCACACCACTTCCTTACTTTGTCCCATTGACAGTGCCTTGAGGGATCGGGTGGTATGCATCGAGCGTAGGATGAAATCTCCTAAGTTTACATACCCAGTAGGCGTCACGGCTTGGATTGAGTTCCTTGGTTTGAGGACAAATGGGAATGTTTTGTGGGCTTACCTTTGGCTACCTTTGGATGATATCTTGGTAGGGTGCCTCATGCAGCCTTTCCTGATGCTGATAGGACTCAAGTGTGTCAAGACGTACACCCCCGTTAGGGTAATGCGGCAGTTGGGCAGAAGATAAGAGGAGCCTCCAACTTTGAATCTTCGGAAGCACATTATGAATTTTAGCAAAAAGGCGGCTGACGAAATCAAGTATGTGCAATACTGGAACAATACAAAGAGGATGAAGAAAAATACATTAGTAGAGGACGTTGGCAGGCCCAAGTGTACTCAGGAGCACTTGATTTGGTTACAGTCCATCCCGCCAGGGGTCAGCACCCCATTGCCAGCACAACTTAGGGGTCGGGCATTTCAGACAAATGATTTTGAGGAGGCATCGGACCAAGATCCCTGGGATAAGCTTGAGTTGATAAAGTCTCAGTTAGCAGAATTGGCAGCAAACGTGGAGCAGCATGGCCATTATTTGTTTAGGGTCGGCCTTTAGGATGCGGGGGCACACGCCGGAGCCTTTATTCCCAGCATCGGTGTTTCTTTACGAGGCATGTTACAGAGTTTGAGCATGACAGACAACCCAGGACCATCCCAGTCAGGACCGTCGCATTCAGGAGCAGCTTGAAGAGTCATTCTATTTAGGTGTTTTGAGATTGTCTTATGTTGTCTTTTACTTTCGCTTCTTGTCTAGGAGTACTGAGTCCTTTAGGTAGCGGCAGAGTCTGTCATAGTGTAGTCAAGTCTGTTATGTCTTTCATTATCGTACTTCTCTTTGTATTTTAATATCGAAAAAAGTTTTAATCGAAAAATCCCAAAAAGCTTTTGTTTTTAGTTTATTTTCCATCACTTTTCCAGACTACGCTTGGTTTGATTCATGAGGGACATGATATGTAGGCGACCTACTGCGGGTTCGATCAAATCATTGTTGGTTCAAAGAGAGAGAGAGAGAGAGAGAGAGAGAGAGAGAAGAGATAAAAAAAGAAAAATGGATAAGAGGTGTTGGAAAAGAAAGAGAAGGAAGGATCGAAATGAGCAAATCGGGATGATGCCCTATGACCCTGCGACCCTCAAAGCCATTTTAGAACCGTTAATTGTTGCTAGGTGCATTGCACGTAATGTGATATTATTATTTGATAAATGTCCTAACGCTAACGTGGTGGTTTTGTGTTGTTGTCCTCTGTTATCTTTATTTAATAAAAGGAAGGTTGTTAGTTTGTTGGTATCCTGGCAAGTCATCCATACAACACCCGATCAAAGCGTCAAACAGTCATGACTAGCAAGGAAAAAAACACTGGAGTTGTAGACCCACCAAGGGAGATTGTTGAGTCGGAATCGAAATTGCAAGAGGAGGTCCGGAGGTTGAAGCACCAGATGGCGGAAATGTATCAGGCCTGGATTAAGGGACACCCTCCACCTCGTTCCCTACGAACTACACAGAAAACCCTGCTTCCATTCCACCACTCTCTCAATCCCAGATTCCCAATACCATTGATCTTTCCCTACAACACGCACCTGGATTTACCCCTTACCACAACTACCCCGGCACTTCAACCCAAACTGTTTACGCTCCGCCAGCCAAAATAACCTCGTACCTTGCTCCGTAATCTGCTCCTATTTTTGTACCCCCTCCACAAGCTACCCTCCACCGATCCTCTAGTGAGCCCGCATTCCCCGCTACAGATGCCCACTACTTTGCACCAGAGCCCACATTCAAAGTCCCAGATCCTTACTCTTACACTCCCCAATTTGAGCCTCATGTTGAA